AGAACTTCCGGCTTTTGATAGTACATCGATAAAATTTTCAAATTTCTTTGGCTAAAAATACTACGTTTAGGATCTGCGAAAATAAAATATTTAATAAACTCGGTCGTGGGGTCTACTCAAAGTTAATGTTCGAAAATGTGCCTCACAATTAAGTTACCATTTTTTCAAATTTAATGTGAATGGAATTTTGGCCCGCATTATATTCCGGACACTCCGAAATATTCCCATGCGCATGATGCACATTACTCACAACCAGAAATCTGCAAAATTTGATCAGAGATACATCATTTCAACAGTCATAATGATTTGGTAACTATGTCGTAATTATTGTACATATGTTCACATGACCAATTTATCAACCAGTTAAAGTATACAGTTTTAGAATTAAATAATAAGTACTATACTTAATGTAAAGCTACGCCACACAGTCTCGTAAATTACAATAATTTTTTCACAAGGTAAAATGGCTAGGTGCTGCAAAAAAGGACGAAATTGACAAAAAAAAAGTGTCGCGGGAAATTGATTTTATATTATAAATTTTATGATAAATCATAAGAAAATAAAACGATACAAAAAAAATTTTTTTAAAAATTGTAAATTTCGTCCCATTTTGCAGCACCTAGCCTAAATAATTCCATGCAATACAACCTACACGCTATTTTTTTCACACAATTATTACGATTTTGGAATTCAACGCTTTCTTGATTGCTCAAATAGCGAATTCCAAGCCCGTAGCCTGATTATGACAGTATATTTCACATACTATCACTCACATATATAGTAAATACCATAACATTGAATTTCACATACTATCGTATTTTTGGAAAGATTTGGATTTTTATTAATTTAGTTACGACCAATTACCCAAATAACAAACGTCGTAACTTGCTGATAACTATTAATTTTTAAATACAACCAATCAAAACGTTAAAGCGTACAAGCCAAGAATTAAATTATAAGGATTTGTTAGCGACTACAGTATCGGCTAAATTACCTATTTTAAATTCGTAAAACTTTATTTGTAATCCAGGTAATCATTAGAGAAAACTTATAAATATGCCTTCTTTACACTTAATTATTTCTCAATAAAATTTTACACACAATTGATATCTCAAAAAAATTTTGCACTCGATTGATTTCTCGGAAAAAAAATGGAACCCGATTCAATTGCTAAACCAATTGCTGAAGAAAAACGTTTTACTTTTGATAACATTCCCGATTTGACTGGAAAAGTAATTAGATTATTAATATCATTTGATTAATTAAAATATATCACATACCGATCTATTCAAATTTTTTAATATATAATAACTAGGTTGCAGTCGTTACGGGTGGAAATTCTGGAATCGGGTATATTACTTGCAGGGAATTGGCCAGAAAAAATGCTCATGTGTTCGTATTAAGCCGTAATATCGAGAGAGGTCAGACTGCTGTTGAAAAACTCAAGTCCGAGACTGGTAATCGAAATGTTGAATTTTTGCAATTGAACTTAAAAAGTTTAAATTCTGTCAAAGAATGCGCTGAAAAATTTTTGGCTAGAGATTTACCATTGCACATTCTGTAAGTTCTATTATTATGATTATTATAGATTATTATAGATTATTATAGATTATTATAGATTATTATAAATTAGTTTAATCGTTA